ATCCCATTGAAGAAAGTAACGGGCTAAAGAAGAGAAGGACATCAGGGGCTCAGAAGGGAAACAACTGCAACAAACCAATGCCTGGAGTGCTCTTGTTCCTAGTCTCACCAAGTTCCTTCCATGTCTCTAATCCATACCGGGGAAGAACTGTCCTTCACATGGGCATGTAGAAGAAGAGAGTAAACAGAAGCATTATAGGCATAGCAGTTTTGCATGTTTTCTACTTACCTTGTGATCTTTCCATAGAAGTTTTTCCTGTGATGGAAGCACAGCAGCCCCCATTGTCCTGGATACAGAGATCAGGAGGAGAAGAAACAGGCAGGAAGGAGGATGCATGTGGAATACTGTCTGATACAGCTCTGCCACAAGCTACTTCCCTCTTGAAAGTTATCTTTTTATGGCAGGGATGCAACTGCCAGCTTTATTTTTTATATTCCAGCAGCCCCCTTCTCCAAGATCAAGTAATGACGCACAAACCAGGGAGCAATTAACTCCCCAAAGTATGCGCTGTTTGGATTTAACCCTTAATTAGAGCCTCTGGGTTTTGCTGACATTAAGAGTGTATTTGTTGTTAATTTAAGCTGCATATGCATTCTGTTTGCTAAAAAAAAAACTGCATCATTTCCTCACCATTATTCCTATAATGACCAGGAAGCTTTGCATACCAAGTAGGGTGATTTAGCTGCAAATGATTCATAGGGGTGAATTTTGTGGATGGGTTTAATGGTGGGAGGGCTACCCACTAGGCCTGTGCAAAGCGGCTAGTATTCACTTTGGATTTGGATTCGGACGATTCGGGGGACAGTGATTTGATTTGGTGACTTAAATCACTGTCCCGATTCGATTTGGCCAAATTTGATTTGGAGATTCAGCTCCTGCCGAATCTCCAAATCAGCCAGGCCAAGCCAAGCCCATCCCCTGCCCCTCTCCCAGCCTGACAATGGCTGCCCCACCCGCCCTAGCTCCAAGCACTTGTTTAAAAAAAAAAAAAAGCCTGGCCTCAGAGGGTGCTGCCGGGCAGGGGGCGATCCCTGCTGCCCCCCAACTACATGGGGGGCTTCTGTATGAGCCCCTGGACCCCCCTCCCTCCCCCACGGGTGCCCCACCCAAGCCAGCTCTGGCCCTTTAAGAAAAAACAAAACAAGAAAACCTCCTAACTCACAGCTCCTGCCAGTGAGGGGCAATCCCCACTGCCCTCCACCATGTGGGAGGCTCTGCACAAGCCCCCGAAGCCAACGCAGGAGTGGTGAGTCCCAGGTCTTTTCTTGGTTGGTTTTTTTTTTCCTTAAAGGGCCGGAGCTGACCCGGGCAGAGCACTGGGGGTGGGGGGGTTGTCAGGGTGCTTGTGCAGAGCCCCCCATGCAGCAGGGGGCAACGGGGATCGTTGCCACCCCACCACACACCTGGCAGCACCCAGTGAGCACTGGGGCTTTTTTTTAAAGTACGGAGCTGGGGCAGGTGGGGGCAGCCATGGAGGGGGCTGGGGGGGTGCGGTGGGGAGGGTTAGGGGGGGCTGGCAGGGGTCATCCCCCCCGCCATGGTCCCCTCCCCCAGGCCCTAGTACTTACCAGCTCTGAGTCAGCTGCAGCTCCCTGCTGCAGTCACCAGAGACTGCCCAAATCATTTAAGCTCTCCGAGTCTTTTCTGAAGATTCGGAGAGCTTTGAATCAATTCAGACCTTTAAATAGGTCCCAATTTGATTCGGATTCAGAGATTCGGCCACCAAATCGGGGCCAGTCTCCTCTGAATTGAATCACCTCCGAAGCTTCGCACAGCCCTACTACCCACATAATTGAGGAGAAAAGCTTGAACATGCAACCCAAAGGCACGCCCTCCCTGAGCAGAAACCAGAAGACAAGTAGAAGAATAGGAATTATTTTTAAATAAAACAAAACCCCACAATATTTGAATATGCAGCGTTGGCAATACTGCCAGGGAAGGGTAACTTTCATTTTAGGATAAAAAGCATTGCAGATATTATGTTTTATAGGACCTGAGAATCAAGAATTTTAAATTCAGTTCCCAGCCCTGCCATTACCTTGCTGTGTGAATGCAAGTTACAACCTCTCTGCCTTGGTTTCATCATCTATAAAAATGGGGATAACAGATTTACTGACTCAGGAGTTCTTTGTGAGGATCGGTGTTTGAAGAGTACTTCAACGCTCTACAGAGATGCAGTGTACTATTACAATGATCTCTGCTTGTGCCAGCCTGGGGTACTTGCTGGATAGACCTTTAGAATGGAAATTCAGGACTAACAGTGCCTCAGGTGGCTTTGTGCACAAAACTACAGGCCCAAGCAAGGGCTCAGATTAAGATTCACATACCAGATGAACACATGGAAGGGTGTGGCATTCATTCATAATTAGGGAACTGAGCACAGGGATTGAAGCCAGGAACTCATTTCATTTCCTTCCCTATTACTCAACAACCTGGGGGATGCAACAGAACCTGCCTGAGTGCATGTATGTCAATGCATCCCCGCCACCCATACCGATTAGTGTTCTGAACTCTTCCTCACTGGTGCTCTACTAGAATGTTTCGGTGGTGATTTCTGGAGATGCCAACCCATCCATTTCTGTCAAAGCCCCAAGAAGCAATGAATTCTTGAAAATTCTGAGAACAGAACTCAATGCAATAGTAGGAGGAAGACTATTGGAACCATTTTCGTGCCATCCACACTAGCACTTGCACAGTACAGACCAAAATGATATTTAGCCTTACTGAAAGTAAGCCTGATCAGGGTTCATGTAGTGAGCTGTCAGATAAGCACTAGCATGTGTGGCCAAACATATTTCACAAGTATGCTCATTAGACCACAGGGCCCCAATTCAGGAATTTTCTTTAGTGTAAGCAAAATCCTGGAGATCCGGGTTTTTCTTAGTATACATTTTCTATACCCTCCTGGGGGGAAGAATCAAGCACTTTTACACTGCCTCACTCCAAAGAAAGTTCATAATAAAAGCAAGTAAGTACAGCACTGCTTCATGGCAGGTTGAACCCTCCCATTGCCAATGGCCGGACAGAGTCTATGAACCTTTAGATAGGGGGCAACAGCTACTTCGTTAAAATCTGTAAGTCTCTTTGAAGTACAAAATATTAAACAAGCATAATTTAGATATATTTGCATATGAAAAGGACTCCTTAGGGTCCCTAAGCTCTACCGGAAAAATATACCATCAGTGCCTTCTGCAGCTCATATGGGATCATGCTGATACAGCCCCAGGTAGTCCACAGAGCACCAGTGGACAGATCAGTTCCAGAATTAGACTGTTCTATGGAATTGATCCTACAGTTTCTTTCCCAGAATAGCAATAAAACCCCACAACTTGACGAGAGAAAATAAAAGGGTGAAAAAACTAAAAGGAGCAGTGGAAGTATCCAAAAAGGCTGATTTATGCCAAAAACACATATTCTAAAGGAAATGACACTTGGAGGAGGGTCACAATTCTCTCAGCCAGTCACCAGTTTCAGAGCTCCAAATACAAATGAAACAGCTGGCTGATATAGGAGACTGCTCTGCACTCCCTGTAAGACATGCCAATTTAATTTACAAATGTACCTTTTATTTCCCACTCCTCTGAAGGCAACAACATATTGAAGGTGTCACACACAGCTAGAGAATACCTCTCTGCTGGTTGATTTGGGAATACTGCTGAGAAGCTCAGATAGCTGGTTGAATCCCTGCCCACAGAGCCTCCTATCTCAAGGTTGGAGGAATTGAGGGGGGAAAAAACGGGGGGAAAACTCAACACTTTTGTCATATTTTGGTCACACCAATGAACCCCACAGCAATTCTACCCTGAACTTTATTTCTATCCCATTCCTCCAAGTGCAATATCCCTCACCCAAGACAATCCATTGATCATATATCCTCCTCCTGCAGACAGGGCAAGGAAACAAAGGTGTCTGCTAGTTGGGGATGGTACTTGATTGTTCTGTCCAGTCGTAAAAGCTTAAGGTTTCCTTTTACTTTCTATTACAAAGGAGTTTCTCTATATTTAAACAGATACAAGATCACTAAGTTGAGTCAGTAGGGCACAGCACTATATGGCAACAGCTCAGGATCACTGACACGAGATACAAATTCAAAAAAAAGAAGGAAAAAAGCTGTTAAAGAGGACAATCGCACACACATATAGTATCATCAAAATAATTGCATAGAAATGACCCTAGACACAGATCCCATCTATACCAATAAGGGAAAGATATAGTCCCCTTTAGAAGAGAACCCATCTGCTACTAATCAGGTTCGTAGCCAAAAGCCCATAGAGCAGCAGAAAGGATGAACTGGTTTTAGAACAGGTTGTCATGACCTTCTTTTTCATCTACTGCACGGAGATGCAGCTTACTCCATCCCAACTGTTTAGCGAGCATTGCACTCAAGTAATTTCACATGGAAAATAATGATGCAGGAAAGTCTACTTTAATAGCCCAGAACAAGTATGAATGATGGCTGAAAAATACTTTCAATACACTTAAGCACAGCAGCAACAAAAACAAACAGGAAATGAACAAATCTTACTAGTAATTTGGAAAAGCCAAACAACGGCATGGAGAGTTGCCTAGAAGAGCATCTCACACTCTCTTACTTCTGTTTGCTGGCTAGGCAGAGGATACCTAGCGTTGGAGTTTCTAGCCCTCATGACTGATTCTGTTTTGGAAAACTATTAAAATAGTCCTTGTTTGCTTCCCTTTGCAAACCATATTTTGGTGATGGCTAAACAACTCTTGGCACTGAAGCCTGTTTTTGAAAATGGAACTTAAACAATTACCAGGTTCACCTAAAAGATGAAAGGTCCCATTGCTGTAACTGCTTCGCAAGGGCAACTCCCAATGGAGTTTTCCATGCAGAGAGGCTGTCTTTGTTCCCTTAGGGTACAGTAAGGGACCAAGTCGCAAAGCAGAAAGCTGGCAGAAGTGATTTGAAAGATCATGCCACATTGGAATCCTCACACTCAGCC